CAATACCTCAAGACGGACACCTATATTCAGCAGTTCCGCAGGTTTACTGTGGGTTTTCTCAGTCATAATGTTCCTATAAAAGATGCTACACTAAAACGAGACTCTAAGTCGGTAGGTAGGGCACCGAGACGACTTTGAGATCTGATCCGGCCCGCGGGCATTTTCCTTTGCGTTCCTAGAAGTGAGTCTGACCTTTTCGAAGCAGGTTCCGCGCTTTCTTGTTTGACGCGCAACGCGTTCTAAGGCTTTTATTACTTCGGCGTGGTAGGAGGATGCCGCGCTTAGTTTCAGTGCCTGACTTTTTGATGGATTCCTGCGTATCCGTGTTTGTTTTCTTTTCGTTTTTCTTGTTTTTTTTCACGAGAAAAGTGAGAGTTGCCCGCCCGTGTTGCTCTTCGAGATTGTCTTGCACTACTTCTGCGTTGCCGGCTTTGTATTCTTCTTCGCTCGTTATTTGTAGGATAAGGAAAAAAGAATGAAAAGGCTTGAGGGAGGACGTTGTTATGACTGGTCTCTGGAAACTGTGCACGCCCCAAGTTTGTTGCGCTTTTCAGTCGAAAGATGGAGCACTTCGAGTCAGTGAATGGACCAGCCTGAGTTCAAGGCCATGACCGGTTTTCAAATAATACTTTTTATGCTACTGTTTCTTTTTTCTTTCTTTTTAGCTTTGTGCATTCTTTAAGCCGACGCCGCTTTCGGAAGTAAGGGGTTTCTGCCGCCTTTGTGTGCAAGTTCTCAGAGTTCGAAGATCGGGAAGCACAAAGCCCTCCGCATTTCGTTGCAACTGGAGAGTAAATTGAGTCCTAACTGCTCTATAGGGTTGCAGGTATCGCGCAAGGATCGTAGAAACTTGCAACTTAACAATACATATAGATTGATAAAAATCTACACGGAGTCAAGGGAAAAAAAAGCTTCTTTTGTTGTTGATTTTTTTACTCGCAAAAATGAACCGTTTATCCCCGAACAATCAGTCTCTTCGAAATGTAGCGCTAGTGGCTGGGACCAACTGCGAGAGCTTCAAAACGAACAGCAATCTTATTTAAAAACTTAAAAATCGTTTTTTTTTTCTTTTTTTTTTAAATTTTCATTGAGAAAATGAAGGCAGAAAAATATCACAAATACATGGGGCTGAATGGCGCAAACTACCCGAAAAGGGCCCCAGCATTTTCCAATTTAAAGTTTCAGAAAATCACTTATGCACTTTTAATAGGGTATAACTGTTAGCTCTGAAGCTTTGGCTTGTGGTCCGGACAACTAGCGCCACATTGTAGACAGAGTTTGAGCGTTAGGTTGTAGTTTGCTTTTGCAATCGGAAAAACATTAAGCTTTTTTCTTTTCTTTTCGGAAAGAGGTGGTAGTTAAAAACGTTAGGTTGAAAACGATAGACTGTTTGTGCGTGCGCCGTGGTGCTCGGCTAGATATACTTTGGCACGTGAACCGAACGCATTTTCGGGAGTTTTTGATTTTGTATACTGCACTGCAATTCACACATAAATGATAAACCAAAAAAGTCAATGACCTTTCCATTATAAGTACTTTCAACCAATTTCAAGACCGATCGGCGTTGTAGTTCATGGTATGACTGGTCAGGATGGGGAGGGGGGGGGGGGGGGGGGGGGGGGAACGACCCTTTGCCACTGAGGCTGGACGACCTTCCAGGCGGGATACCGCTCGGCCTTCTCATTGGGAAATGACACAAAGAACGTTTATTGGTAGCTCAAGTGCATTGCTATATAGTATATGCAGAGAGCAAGTCGTCTCCTTGTTGCGCAGCAGTTTTGGTGATGTCAGAAGGACGCCGAGCTCCGATAGGTTTTGATTGAAAGGATAGTGGGTAGACCTCAACGCTAGATGCCTAGAGGTCTACCCACTATATTTTTTTTTTCAATCAGTCAATGAGAGCTCGGCATTCTGACATCATCGCAACCCCTGTGCAAGAAGCAGACGAACTTGCGCTCCGCACACGCACCAACGCGCGGTTATGACGTCACGCCGCTACGGGGGCGCTGCTGTCAGCACGGCGCATGCGCAGAAGCCTCCCTTCACGAGATTCTGGTTGCTGCGCACGCGGAGCACAATATCACCGCATCATTATTGTCACAAGTCAGTGGGCAAACGCTGACTTTTGACAATGTTGCCACAGTCAGCCCTGTTGTTCGATTGCGACCCCTTAATTTGGTGTGGTTCCAACACTCTCACCGAGGATCCGTAAGCCGCAACGTCGCCTCGGTCCGACCTCGGCGCCACCGATGCGGCACGTTGTCACCTAACCTTGAAAACGAAGAAAGAACAAAAACGAAACTCATCGAAAGACAGCGGAGGCTCCGAAATCAAGAATCAAAAGTGGCGCGGACGAGCATCCACCGCAGCTGTCGGTTCCGCTTCCAACTCGACGCCCAGGCATCCATCCCCCCTTTTGTCTTACGGCTGCAATCAAAAACGCGCGGCCTATGATGAACTCTGACACGAACAACGGAGGCTGGCTGCTCGCCTTGAAGGAAAGATGCTTCGTAGGCCGCCGCCTCCAATGTCCCATTGTCCGTCGGTGCGTTGGTAGAAGGCCAGGGGCAGGACACTCCTCGCGACTTTAAGGCAAGGACGCCTGTGCGCGCGCGCCCGGTTGCTACACACGTTGGGGAAAACAGACTCCTTCGCGGGACGATCTCTGTTTACAAACAATGACCGGCGGCTCCTTGTCTTTGGCCGGCACGGGAACACGTGCGGAGACCGGCGTTGGATACGAAACCGTCGCCGAGAAGGGATTCCGTCCTCGGCGCATATGTCATACCACGAGTTACGGTGCATTTTAAGGGTTGAGGTTATACTTTGTCTCAACCTGCGATGGACCACAGCCGAGACAGGTGCAATCAGGAGCCAGTTAGAAACTACGTGTATCTTGCTCCGACGTTAGCATCAGTGCACCCGTCTCGGAGTCTTGATTCACACGTCGAAGCGCCATGCACACTTCGTGGACCCTTACTCGCGGCATATGATTTAACCTTGCGGCTCGTAGTCTTGGCAATGCACACTGAAACATGTGACAACCTTAAGGGTCTAAAGACGCGGCTGCTGGGATTTACATCGACGGCTATACCCTTTCAAAAATCATATATTTCGAGCTAATACATCCTTTTCAATCGTAAAGTAGGATACTGTTGCATTAAAACGCCCTTTATGTTGAAGGGTCTAAGAAGGGTGTGGGAAAGGGTACTGGGGCAAAGTGAGACAAACACCCTTTATGAAGGGTGTTTGCCACACTAAAAGACGATTTAGCCTAGCTGTTATTATAATGACGACGATCTTGAATAATTGTTGCCTGTACCAATGCTTTTTACTGGAATGTACGTTCCTTGAACTTGGGTATACTCTGCAAAACATTGATGCAACGTAGGTGTAACCTTCGTAATTGTGGAGGCGTACACCTGCGAATGAGCGTGTTTAAATTGTCAAGTATGTATATCTATATATATATATAACACGGTAGAACTGTCACCAGGATCAGGATTCTTCTTTTGATCGTGATTTATTGTCTGGATATGCTGTTTCTGTGCATGTGGAAACTGCATGGAATGCTTGTTCTTGTGAACTTGATTCTGGTAAAATAACTACCTCTAAGAAGCTGCTAAATTCTCATACAAACGGCTTTTTCACCAGGGAGCTGCTAGACCGTGAAATCAATAAGAGGATTGTCGCGCTAAACAAATAAACAACGCGTGCGAGTGTTAGTTGAAAGTTTCTGGCAACTGTCCACAGCAGGACACGCTCGGGAGCAAGCGGTCTATGCGCCGAATTGCTTGTGTCATCAAAGAGTAGCTTTCGATATGCCGGTGGCAATTTTCGACTGTCCCTTCGCCTTCAGTGAACGACCCGAAGACGTCGACCTAGAACATACACATCAAAAAACGTTTCGCCTGGTATGATATTCTCTCGATCCACTATTTCCATTTTTATGTTCGGACAACTATTTCTCGTTTTAGTTTAGGAGCTGCATGGCTTCATTTCAGCAGGTAAACTGAGCTCGGTATACCTGCTGAAACAAATAGGCAGCTCGTGGTCAGGTACTGGTACGAATATCTAAGATAAGTTACGATTACCCTTAAGTATCCCTTGTTCTCTAGATTGACATCTGCGACCAAGGTGTGTTTTCTCAAGGCAGCAAGGTGCAGCATAAAAGTACTAGGTTAACCCTCGCGTGCTTTCAGTTGTGCGGCGTCTATGTCTGTTTTGGCAAACAATACTCCCCTCCCCCCCCCCCCCTCCCCAAAACAAACATGACTGATCATTTTGTTTATCAGATATCTGATAGTCCCCTTCCTTCCTCTTCGTTCTACTCTTCCCGTAATTCCAGAAACTACGGGCTCGGAAGTCACAGGGATGCCACGGCAGGAGGACTAGTCATTTCCCAACTTTAGCGCGAGTCTCTATTTCTACCGGTGCAAACTTCCTGGAAATTTAAAATTCCTCCGACAGGGAACTCCTTCCGTGCAAGTGAGTGACCTTCGGGCATTCGCAGGAGCGTCCCATCGCGAAAACGCGGATGCGCAATCCCCGTTAGGCGTCTTCAGTCGCTTCCCCTTCTAACCATTGCCGCACCCGCCCACGCAAGAACAAAAGACGCGGATAGAACCGCGTGTCCCCCGCCGCCAATCCCATCGAAAGGGCAACAAACACCACTGGAGACCCATCTTCGACTCAGACAGCCATCTCTATTGTCTTCACCTGTGGTCTTTTTTTTTTTCTCGCTTTCCGACCACACGACATGTCCGCAAACGACGTGTCTCCGACTGACGTAAGCTCGACAAGGTTCGGCTGAGCTTTGACACGGTCGGCATCGCCTTGTTGTGTGTGTACACGGCGTCGAAGACAGTACGCGAGGAACGCTGCTGCCCGACGAATGTCGTGAAGCGTGCGCGTGCGTATATACTCGCGCTGTTTGCGCGTGTGGCCGTGGCGGGGATGTCCGCTTGATGGTCTGTCTGTCTCCCGCAGGACCTTGCAGGATGCGGCTACCGCGGCCGTCTTGGCTGCCCCTGGTAACGCTCGCCTTCTTCGGATGTCTGGCGACGTCGTCTGCACAGGGTAAGAGTCGGCCGGCTACGCCCCCCCACTGATTGGTTCAGCCCCGTTGACGTCATAGGTCTTTCTGATGACACGCGTTAATTGCATCTGGTAGGAAGGACAGCGCGGCGTCGAAGTCAGATCGGGTTGGCCCTATGTGAGATTTGCTATTTCTACGCTCGGCCGGCCTTACCGTATCGGAGATTACGCAGCGTTTTTTTTTTATTTATTTTTTTTTTGTTTACACTTTGAAATAACCTATAACCGCAGACTCTGTATTAGTCTGAAGGTGTGGCTAACTATATGAAAGAGCGTTACTTCGATGTTCGCACTTTGTCACAGCGGTTTGGGTGATGGTGTTTGCTGGTCATTTGGCCGGATATAAGATGATTGTAGCACGCGTTCTAAAAGTTGCCCTTAGCTGGTGTACAAGATTCGGGGCGCTCGCTGAGGCCCATCTCTAGGGACCAATACGGAGGGAGGTTAGCAGCGACCAAGCCTAGAACATAGTGAGCCTGAAATTAGGTATTAACCGTGAGTATATAGACACTGGGATTTCGATTCTCCGTGTTCAGCGTACCAGCGCATATCCTAAGTATGCATAAAAATGCCTTCTTTTTGTTCATCGGCGTTGACAGTGGCAAACATGCAGAAAACCAGATGCGCGGATAGTGTTTTCTTTCCCCCCCCCCCCCCCCGCCTCCCTCGCAAACAAAATCATATTCAAAAATGCCATGTAACCATAGGTAGATGGTTGAGCGTGTTGGTTTCTAATTTACGATAAGGAAAGAGGGACATTGTCTGTTTGTCTTCAACGTCCCTCTTTTCTTATCGTAACCATAGGTATTGAGCATGAAGTTTCACATACTATACTTCGTCTCACCCTACGATGGACTAAAGGCAGAAGCTACGAATTGCCAGATCCAATCACGAGCCACTTAGACATTGCGTGGTATTTCGCTTCGATGCACGTATCGGTGCCCGCGGTTTGGATCACTGATGGGAATGGGTGGACAGTGGTTCGGATCGAACAATGAGTGACTCAACAATTTTACATTACAAAGAAACCCTTTGTAATGTACTGCCTCTTTGCAGTGTCGAACAGTAAGAATGACGCAGCGTTTTTAGATTCAGAGCATTATTCGTCCAAACCTAATCAATGCTAACCGTATCATAGTTTAGCGCGGAACGTGATTGGACCTGGCGGCCCGTGGCTTTGGCCTTTAGTCCATCGTAGGATGAGACGAAGTATAGATGCCTCAGTGCTCAGTGCGCATTTTTACTGAAGTTTTTTTCATCCTCATTATCGCAGTGACTTTTTTTTTTCGCTTGTACCGTGTTGGTACGAATGATGGTACAAGACGCGCAGATATTTTTAAACTGTAAGGCATTTTTTTAGGCTGTAAAACGAAGACCTGTCTAGGCTCCTCGAATCGGCAATCTTAGTCTGCACCACTCTCAAAGAAATAAAAACACGCCCGACTATGTTGCCGTGGGCGCGAAGAGTCAATTCGATCCACAGGGTATACACATAGGAAACGCCAAAGCTCAGAAACTTTATTCCGACCCAAACATTCTGCGTGCACATTGTTGGAGAAGGTGGAGTAAAAAACCAGAAAACATGGGTTCCATCTCTGACTTTGTAAGTTTCAACAATAAAAAGACACTGACACGCCCCCCAAATTTTTTAAAAATCTTTTAGGCGATTTATTATGGTATCAGAAGACTACACAATGAGTACTTTGCTGCAGCACTCACATATATTTTTTAATAAAGTAAAAAAAAAGTGTTTGAAACCAAAACTGATATTGGACTGGGGAGGAAGAAGTAATGTGGGGGAGGAAAGAGTTGCCAGAAGTAACGTAACTAAACTATGCCGCGCTTGTTTGTTTGTTTTACCTTCGTTTTGCAGGCGCGCGAAGCAGACGAAAAACGCGGACGTCGCACGAAAGACGCAAAAGTCAGGAACTTCGTTACGTGTTCGCAAAGACGAGCGATGTCTTCAGCCAGGAAAAGGGGCGTCGACTCGGCGACTTCTTCGTGCGAATCAGCTTGGAGGTCCGGTGTGTCGTACGGAATAAATCCTAATAGTCTTGATCGGTAAAAGATTTATCTTTGGAAGCTAGGCAGGTTCGCCGGTACCGCGAACAGCAGTTCGGAATTAGAGGTCCCACGCCCTTCGTCCGCCGCCTTCGCTTAGGCCGCTTCATTCAGCCATCCAGCCCACGACTCCCGCGATACGACGCCATGTTGAGAATTACGCAGATAATGCACGGATTGCTCCCGGCTCTGTGGATTTTTTTTTCTTTTTTCAATACACGTATTTGCAGTTTTTTAGAAGCCACAAACAATGTTTATCATATTTCGGGTCTATTTTTATTATTGAGTATGTGCCTTCGATAACCAACGACTTTGATTAAATTTAGTGGTTTTGTCTAAACCGTACAGAACGGCACGTGACCACGGAGAAGAGAGTAAGCGCGACTTAAACCGACCCGTTCTTGATCGTCGGTTTTTGGGCGAAAAAAAAAAACGAATTTCGAGCTGCAAATTGTACCCTAGGTACTTGGGTTTTCTAATTCCAAAAAAACCCTTGGCGATCATAAATACCCTGTGACCCGTGGGTGTCCCTTTAAACGAGGTAAGAGAGCAGTGCAGTACGACTGCGCTGGCTAAACTGCCACTGAGAAGCGTCGAAGGATTATCGATCCCAATCTAATAGACGTCTGCAAGCAACCATGTTCCTAAATCTACTCTGTCCACGATCAATATAAAATTGTTACGTTTGGACACCCGGCTGGCAACCGCCGGCACGCTTTAGCAAGATGCTCTACAGGGTACCCGACCAGAAAGTTACAGGGTCTTCTTTTACCGCAAAAATGAAGTACGCATCGTTTAACGCTCATTCTCCACCCAAATGTAACCTCAGAAATCCAGACCAGATGTCAAAGTTTCAGAGCCATCCGTTATCTTGTTAAAAAGTTAAAAAGTTATGCCGTTATCTCGTGAAAAAGTTAAAATTTTTTAAATTTTTTAATGGGTTGAACGGCGGCCCACGGAACTCGAATGCATGGATCTTAAATGGTGACAGCTACCGAAAACATTCCCCATTTTTTCATTGAAAATTTCCAGAAAAATCACAGAACTTTTGAACGAGATACCATGCAGTTACCTCTGACACGTTGCCATATGGTTGGGACCGTTAGCGCTACATATGGGCGGAGAATGAGCGTTCGGTAATGCATACTTTATTTTTGCAATAAAAAAAAGAAAAAAAACATTACATCTCTTTTTTGCGGAAAAAAAGGGGGGAGGGGACACTACATTTACACACCCCACTAGAAATATGACAGCGCCCAGTGACCGTATCTTTAAGCGTCTACCCCCAGTTTTATACATCGAATCGCTGCAGCGGCTACGATCCAATGGTGGTAATCAAGCAGTGTCGTACCTGCATCGTCAAGGCGTTCGCCATCTTTGCACGTTTGATATCACCGGCTTAAACAATGCGGAGCGAAAGTTCGTCTGCTGTTTGTACGGGGGTTGCCATGATGTCAGAACGTCGAGCTCTTATTGGCTGATTGAAAAAATAAATAGTGGGTAGACCTCGAGGCATCGAGCATTGAGGTCTCCCCCCTATCCTTCCAACCAAAGCCAATCAGAATTCCGTGTCGTTCTGACGTCACCGCAGCCCCTGCGAGAGCAGCAGACGACAACTGCTCTCCGCATAACGCGCTGCAAATACGCCCTGGTGTGTTTTTTTTTCTGCAGCTGATTGGTTCAGTTGGAGACTGCAAACGCACAAAGACAACGAGCGTCGTAGCGAGACATTTTTGACGCTGCCTTTGGCGCTGCTATAAACGTTCACAACGCCTAATTTTGTTTTCTTTATTAACTTCGTATTTAAAGCACTCGAAATGTTGGGTACCACCGGTCCTTGGGTACCAAGTAACCTGCACTTCGCTTCATCGTAAGTCTGAGCGTAATATAAGACAGGAACATATGCAAATTAAGAGCGCAAGTCACCGGGCATTCACTGCAGGGTTTCTTTAGCAGACGATAGGACACGTAGAGAAAGATGGCGAACGCCATGACGTTGTGCTTTTGGCGCTGTTGAATAGGTCCCATCGGCCCGTAACATCGGCTTCGCTCGAACTTAGGGTGAACAAGAAGTATGAAGACCAGTGTCCCAAATCCTAACCCCAAGCGATAGAAATGGAAAATCACAATCTTAAACGCAGGCTCTTGTGAAGAGAGGGGCGCGCGCATAAAACTAGATGTTTGCTTTCTGCAGCACTCTTAGCATCGGTGAATATTTCTTGAAGCTTCGTGACAATGCACTTGTGACGTTCTTGCAAGAAGCAAAAAGCGCACCCCCCCCCCCCCCTACTGTGTCATGGCGTCAGCATTAACAAACATGGCGGCGCCCGTGGAACAGAGCAGACACTTATCTATAAAAGACTAGCTAAAAAAAAAAAAAGAAGATATACATTTGAGAAGCAACAGAGTCTGATCCAAGTGTGACAGCGTACGTAAGGAATTTTCGTAGTATGTTCGCGGATATAGTACCACGAAAGGAAAGTCCGCTTTCGCTGTAATATACCCTTGAAGGCGTCGAACGTGGTCGTCAAACTGACGGACTCGTTGATACCTATCAGTCGTACCTTGTAGGCTGCGTCCGTATGCGTTGAGTTGGCCAGCGCGTCTTCTGTCAGGGTCTTGTAACTTATCGCGTATTACTCTGACGAGTTCCGTGAATGAATGGCTCGGACATTGCAAAACAATCTCATGACGTCTGCTACAGCTGCGCATGGTCTAGCCTGAGCACACAGCAGTGTCGAAGAGAAAACTACTGGACATTAGACGTAGTCAATATGGGGGATAACGGTTTGACAGGGAACACGTTTCGCTGTAGCGATATAGCGCTTGTGGTTTTCCCACTTGCCCCGTCAAAGGCAGGCCGTCCACAAATGACGAAGGATTGAGCAACTAGACATGGAACTGTGGCAACGTTAATGATA